ACAATACTTAAATTAAAATTTATTTGAAGGAATGCTACTATCGATGTCGGCGTCTTGTGACTGTTGTCTGGCTGATTGGCCGTTTAGGTACCTATAGTTTGATTTCAGATAATGCAGATTTTTATGTGCCATTTGTGGTTTCTTTATTGGAATTTTTTTTACATATTTGGTATACTCTATGAAGTGCTCATGTCCATTTTTCAATTATTAAAGTGCTTATTTAGATACATTTAAAATTAATTAATTAGTGTATAGTAATTGAATTATGAGTTTGTTTATTTTTTATGAAATGTGTTTTTTTTTCTATTAAAATAAACATAGCTTTACTTACAAAATTGCTAGCTAGCTATTTTTAAATACAGGCTTTTAATTAAGTATCTGGCCAACTTCAGAAGGTGATTCTTTGTGTTTTTAAGGTAAGTTAATATAAACATGTGTCCGGAAATGCATAATTTTAAAGATACAGGGTGTCAAGTCCTAATAGACATTTTTTTATTAATATTTCAAAGATCCGTTGGCCGATTTCGTTGAAATTTCGCCGTGTTGTGAATTTTGATAAGTTAGCACTAATTAAATGATAATAATCATTATTTACAACAATATTCAAACGGTAAAAACTTATCAACTTATCCCAATAAATATTTGACAACGCCTTGGATTCATTTGTTCATTTGTTTCAACGCCTGTTGGCGGTGGAAACCATGCAAGCTTTTACTTTGTCGTAAGTTGATAATTAAAAAAAATAATAATCATATAAAACAATATGGTAATTAGTCTAAATTTATTATTTATGTGATTCTGCTCTTTCTCGTATAATCTAACAACCCATGCCTTGACATATTTTCTTTTAAAATAATATCGCTTTCTTTATCCGCCAGTCCAGACTCGACCTTGCCCTATTCGCTCATCAATGCCGGCTCTATCAACTTAAGTACGTGTTGACAGGCCGGTTATTGAACCCATGTTGCTTCTAGCATGTCGTTTTTTCAAAGATGGGTCCCATATAAACGCGGCCAGAAGTATTTTCAATACTAATAAGGTTCTCAACAGGCTTCATAAATGAAAGAATTTGATGATCGAAAATGTATGTATTTCATTTTTAACAAAAATTAATCAAGAAAATTTTCAGCCGGATACCAGATAACGTTGAATTTAAAAAAAATCTCATTTCTTCACGTAAAAATTTCTACGATATATTAAAAATAATATAACCGTACTATTAAAATTATCCGTTAAAAATGATGTTGACATTTCAATTATAGAAAATCAGTGGATAAATATTCTTGATTTAAATGAAGAATCTTTATAATGTATGTCGAATGAATGTTTTTTTTTTAATTTCAACGTTATCTGGTATCCGGCGGGAAATTTCCTTGATTAATTTTTGTTAAAAATGAAATACGTACATTTTCATTCATCAAATTCATTTATTTTTGAGGCCTGTTGAGAGCATTATTTTTATCTAGTTTTCAAAGAGATAATCTAAGTAGCATTTGCTATCTATGTAATCATACATTTTGTCTTTAAAAATATTAAATTTAGAGTTAGAAAGAACTACTTTTTGAAACATAGATTCCAACATATTTATCACATCTTGTTAACCCTTTTCGGAATAGTGGTTCCATAGAAGTATGACTTTATCTTTTATTTTACAAATGCGGTCCAAGTAAGCTTTGAGTGGGAGCACAGCGATTCCCTTGTCTCTATGGACATCTCCTACTACTACTATTGATCAATCAAACGGGTTATATTCCAACCCATTTGATTGATCAAATTGTTTATGAGACGAATCGTTATGCCACTCAGGATTTTGGTGATCACTATGTTGCAACAACTGGAGAAGAGGTAAAATGTTTCTTTGGAATCAACCTCATGATGGGGCTAACTCGAAAATGTAGTTAAAAAGATTACTGGTCTCCAAAGTTTGCAATGAGAGACCCTTATATTACGTCAACAATGTCGCGCGACAGATATAGTTGGTTGCTGAAAAATTTACACATTAATGATAACAGCATTCAGCCTAGGAAGGAAGAAAAGGGGTTTGATAAACTCTATAAAATTCAATCTCTACTTGACACTCTATTCAAAACATTTTTGGATGGTTTGAGGGAGTTTTAGGCCCTCTGAACCTATTCCGTTATTATACGTTAAACAGAGCATGCGCATTGATACCTAAATAACCGAATATGTTAATAAGCGATAACGTACTACGCTAAATACGGACAAATATCGGTAAAGTTAATAACGTGAAAGTTTAGACATTGTTGCCGGATCTATTGTCATTTAACAATGAATGCAGGATAAGTGTAAAGCAATGTGACTTCACGCATAGATCCATACTTAAGACGCTTTGTAATTATTTTTTTATCAGATTAATGACATCAATACAGGGTTGTTCACCACATACGACACGGACTATTGTAGCTAAACGATGAGATTTTTACAAATTTTAAGTTTTGGGTTGGTTGAAGGACTATTAGAGCTACAATTTAAAATTATTTTTACAAGATACAGAGTGTCCCAAATAAGTAAAAAATATTATAGTTGTATTTTTTTAAATGGAACACCCTATATATTATTCTATTTTTGGATTCTACGATTGAAATAAAGGTAAATTTGATTAAGGTTTATCACACTTAAACCTTACCGTTTTTGAAATATTTTCAATTTTATGAAATTGCAGTAAAAATTTTAAGGCTTCATTTCTCCAAGAGTATCAAAGTTTTTAAGACTAAATTTTTACTGAAGATTATTTATTAATCAGATATTGTGTTGCTATAATAAACATTTTACTACCTTATACAGAGTGTCCAAAAATGTATATTAAATAATTACTAGCTTTAAACGGCAATAACTTGTCTAATTTAAATGGAACACCCTATATATTTTACGTAAATCAGATGCACAATGTAATTGTCTATGAAATTGTAATATACCATTTTTTACCCATCTCTTCAAGTTTTCATATAAAATGCATTTTCTTATAATTTAGACTTCATTTATCACTATACCCATGGAATTGACATTTTAGCTTATTTTTAAAGATGTAACAAATTTTCAAAGGATACAGATACTAATATTGTCGCTATAGTTCGCTTATTTAATGAAAAAATAAAAAAACTGTTTAAATATTTTTTGTTAAAGAGGACCAATTAATATGATCCCAGTATTTAAACTACATTAATTGACTATTTACGTTGATTAATAATAATTGCTCCAAATACAAAAAAACTGAATTTTGTGTGTGTTAGACAGTGTGGTAAAAAGTAACACTTTATATATTGTATTTCATTTTTTGACGAATGCTTATTTATAAAAACAGAGACGTTCATTTTCATAACTTATTATTATATTGATTTCTGAGCCAAATGCATATTTATTTAGAACAGCTTATTAATTAAAACAATTTAAAAGTATGTAATTAACTAAAATTTTTGGTGTTTTTGTCGAAAATAATGGTGGAATATTAAATTGGTATACTCTTTTACAAAGATTTAAATAGTTTTTTTTATATGCCAATGGGTTGCAATATTTACCACCTGTATATTTTGTACATATATGGTGCTATAAAAAAATCTGAAATGTCAATATTCCATGGGTATATTGATAAATGAGGTCTAAATTATAAGGAAACGCTTTTTCTACGAAAACTTGAAGGGATGGGTAAAAATGGTATAATACAATTTGATAGACAATTACATTGTGCATCTGATTCACGTAAAATATATAGGGTGTTCCATTTAAATTAAACAAGTTATAGCCGTTTAAAGCTAGTAATTATTTAATATAAATTTTTGGACACTCTGTATAAGGTAGTAAAATCTTTATTATTGCAACACAATATCTGATCAATAAATAATCTTCAGTAAATATTTAGTATTAAAAACTTTAATACCCTTGGAGAAATTAAGCCTTAAAATTTTTACTGCAATTTCATAAAATTGAAAATATTTCAGAAACGGTAAGGTTTAAGTGTGATAAACCTTAATCAAACTTACCTTTATTTCAATCGTAGAATCCAAAAATAGAATAATATACAGGGTGATCCATTTAAAAAAATACAACTATAATATTTTTTATTTATTTAGGACACTCTGTATCTTAAAAATAATTTTAAATTGTACCTCTAATAGGCCTTCAACGAACCCAAAACTTAAAATTTGTAAAAATCTAATCGTTTAGCTAGAATACACCGTGTCGTATGTGGTGAACAACCCTGTATAATATTATAGATTAAGAAAAGCAGTTTAATCAGATAGTAAAAGTAAAATAAAAAATGTTCGAGTCGGAAACCGGAAAATACATCCTTGTATTTTGTATAAGTACATTAGGTGCGTGGCGCCAAATTGACCTTAATAAATATTATTACCCCATAATGCACTTATTCAAAAGTAAGACATTTTTTCAATTTCCCGAAAAAGATATCAATAGGCGGCATAAGTGGTTTCAAATATTTATTTAAATTTCATACCCACTCGTAGTTATCTGTGTGAGGACCATTTTACAATCGACGCATTTACAAATAGTCTACGCGAAAAGCTTGATAAAATTGCTCTTCCAACTTACAATAACAATATTAGAGTTAGAGTATTAAGTATTGTACAGGTAGTTCCACCAAGACCTGAAATATTAAACCTTTCGTTAACAATCAACAGCCCCACAGTCCCTCAAATATTTTTACAATCTCAATCAATTCTTCAAGAGAAAAAATTAATCTAAGGCGGAAAAGTGAACAAATAACTTGTGACTATACCGATTCTCAAATATCTCATGAACATCTCAAAAGTAGAAGACAGAAAGTCGGTATTTTAAGTTATATCCATGAAACCAGGGTTAAAAACCTCACTCCCAGCAAGAGAAAGTAACCTAAAGAGGGTATACGAAATAAAAAATAACCTAAAGAGAGTATTAGTGCTCTTAACCCTTAAAAGCCCCGCGTTACTTATAAGTAACGCCTACGGCCAGATCAAAATGACAAAGGGTGGAAAATTCGACCACTTATGGATAAGTTAAAAGAAGCCTTTTTAACACATTTTGTACCTGAACAAGACATCAATTACGACGAGTCCATGGTGAAATACTACGGCAGGCACTCATGTAAGCAATTTATCCGAGGAAAGCCAATTCGGTTTGGGTACAAAATGTGGTGCTTAAATACAAAAGATGGCTACCTGATAAACTTCGATTTATATCAGGGAAAAAATCCTAGGGCGAATGTATCCGATGAGATATTATATGGCAAATGTACTGCACCTCTAAAAATGATGCTGAGAGAACTGCCTGAAGGAAAGATTCGTTTGCCATATAAAATATATGTAGATAATTTGTTCACAAGTATTTACCTCCTAAAAGATCTAAGAGACGAAGGATACTGGTGTACAGGAACCGTAAGGGAAAACCGCATTCCAAAGGGAACACCGATACCCTCCAAGGCAACTCTTCAAAAAAGATCGACCCGTGGAGAGTACCATTCTATACTTGATAGGACAACTGGAATTATATTGGTGAGATGGGCAGATAATAATATTGTTACCGTGGCCTCAACTTGCTACGGCGTCGAACCGATTTCCCAAGTTAGAAGGTATTCTCAAAAAGAGAAAAACATTATCTCAGTACCATGACCCAACCTAATTGGAAAGTATAATTCGTCAATGGGAGGAACTAACTTGATGGACGAAAACATAGGAAGATATCGTATAGGTATTCGTTCAAAGAAATGGTGGTGGAATATATTTACTTGGTTGATCGACGTCTCAATTCAAAATGCATGGATTTTACACAAAAAAGCAGGACAATCCATCACCCAACTTCAATTTAGACGAGAAATAGTAAACACTTACCTAAAAAAATATGGTACTGTGTCTAAAGGGGGTGGAAGACCATCAGCTTCTTTAGGCAGTAAACAAGGCAACAGAATAAGCGACGAAATTAGATACGACCAAATCGACCATCTACTTGTTTACATACCGGACAATAAAAGAAGAAGGTGTGCTATGGAACTCTGCACAACAAGTACAAGAACCATGTGCAAAAAATGCGATATCGGGCTTTGTCTAACTTGTAATGTAGGCTTTCATACCAAGTAATTCTATTTTTTTTATATGTCTTACTATTAGGTAGCGTTAAAGCCCAGCGTTACATATATGTAACACCCTTTTTTTATGAGTTTGTAGTAAAAATTTTGAAAAAATGTGCTTAAATAGTTTTATTAGAACCTCTTTGGTAAAAAAAACTTAAAACAAGACAGTACAAATAAAAAAAAATAATTCGGGTCTTTAAGGGTTAATAAATAAAAAAAAGATGAAAAATAAAAAACATCTATGCTCACTAGCTCTCTATAAAGAAGTAAAAAATCATTTAAATCAATGCATGAACGATTCGAGGTGTAACGCGAACGTAGTCGCGAGAAAAAGCTAGTAATTTATTAAATTATTTTATTTAACTCATTAATTTTCATTGAAAATGAATTTTTGTAATTCGCCACTATATTAGTTAAAAACTAAGAAACTCATATCAAATTTAAATTTTGCGATTTTGACTTTTTTTAACACATTTTAAAAGAAAAAAAGTTTTTGATAATATTTGTGTAGATTGACTACAAGTTGTATAACATAAATTTCTACGACCGGTCTACCTAGTGGTCTGCAGCATCGCCTTGTGGTGCAAACGTGGGCCTGTTAATCTGTGACGTGACGCACAACAGCCAAGAAAAACAGAAGCGTGGCTAAGAATTTAGTAATTAAAAAAAAGTCTTTTAGATACAGTAGTAGGTATTAAAAAGTTTTGTGTTTAAATGGGGTTTGCCTTTAACAGTTAAAAAATTATATCGTAAAGTGTAACTTTCCGTAAGAATTCTTTTTTTTTGCTTGCTTGTTTTACGGATAGGTGCGATCGCATAATTATTATTGATAGTGTTTTATTTAATTTTAACATTACTACTTTTTCAGTGAATCTTTAAATCTGTCGTTTTAACATTGAAAATGTTTCTGTTATCCTATATAAGGGAGCCCAAATCGAATTAAAATGCTACATTTGCCACACCATGACGTCATATATACAAGGGTATAGGAAATCTCGGCGCAGCGGCGCACAGTAGTTCACTCCCTTATAAAAATTTGGCCAAAACTCAATATATCGAAAAAAATTATTTTTATCATATATGATCAAATATTTTATAATATATATTTAAAAACATGAAAAAACAAAAAAAAAATATATTTTGGAAAATCATGCACTTTAGAGCACTTATGTGATAACATTTTATATGCAATAGTCTAAAAAAGCATATATAACTGTTTTTGTATCGACAATGAATAAATTACTCACTTAGTGTTTTCAAAATAATATTAAATAGTGCATTTTATAATTAGACTATACTGCACGTATACTTTCCTCATATAATATCAGTTTTTGACAGATAAAATGAAAAAAAATAGTACTAACCATTTGAAAATATCAAAATTATATTGTACCTGTGAAATATATTTTATATACATAACTAAATCAAGGATATCGCAGCTGAACTAAGTGATTGTTTTTAACTTAAATGAAACTTCATAATGTCTTTTTGAGAACCATGTCAAATTAGCTGCTAATATCTGCTATTCAGCATAAATTGTCTTGTAAACAAACGTCTTATATAAATGTTGCATGGTTTATAAATGTGCATTTAAAAATTGAAATAGAGCATTTTAAATATTTCATTGTTAGCCACGCCATAAAAAATGACCGGTATAAGATATGTGAGTTTTTTCTTCACAAATTTATTCTATTTTCTTTGGTGTTAAGAAAATATTGGTTTAAAGTACAGGGTATTAACATAGTATAGCATTAGATATTAACAAATATAAATTAACCTCAGATTTTAACCAATTTTCGGATATACCTACTATTATTAACGAAAATTTTAATAAATAAGAAATAGCATGGCAACACCGCATAGTTTTTCAAATAAAAATAGTGTCCTATATGCACAATTCTATGCTGAATCAAATTATGTACAGAAAAAGGGAGTTATGATTTAAAAAAGCCCAGGACTTTATCATTACTTTGGGACACCCTTTATACAACAAAATATTTTTAGTATATGCACCTTAATAAAACATGCAAATACCGTATGATCGAGAAAAACGGCGTCAACGATGGCTATGAAATGAAGATCGCTGTCATTTTATATGTAAATTTGTATGGGAAATATCATCGATCGTCATTTCCCAGCCAACTGACGCCGCTTTTTTTCGATCATACTGTATTTATATAATACTTTTTTCATATTTTCGTCTACGCAACGACGATATTAAACTTTCTCACACTTATGGGCCACCCTGTATCTTTATTAGCTTATCAACGATTTACCGCATATCTTCTAACCGTTGTTCATTCTGTTTGTTGTTTTTTATTTTTCCTAAATATCTTTATAAAGTAATACTTATTAATATTGGTAAATAAATTGCGCTTTTAAATTCTAATGAACCATCGTTACTTTACCTGTATAATTGAAAACGTCTAACGATAAAGAACTTTTTTTATAGGTTTGGCAACTCCAAACGCCTAAATTATTTATAGATTTGCTAAAAAATATTAATTGATACATTAATTTTCCCCGATATAATAATATACAGGTTTTGGCCACGTACGTCCATAAGAGCGAACCAGTGTGCGGCGGCAGTCGGCCAGCGCGCGCAAAAGCCATTACATCGCTAATTGTTTATTGATATATCTTTATTAGTTTAAAAGCAAAAAATATGGGGTTTGCTTTGGTACCTTGTCAAGACATAAGCGAAACTTTTAAATTGTTTCTTTTTTTCATTTAGGACTTCGTTTTTCGTTAAATGAAAGTTATATTAAAAAAAGTCTATTTTTAAACCAAATTTTCGCATGATTGAAATGAGTAAGAAGAATGATGGGAAGTTTTTTTTTTGGTCATAAGCGCTAATGGAAATGTTTTTTTGTAAATAATTATAAAAAATTACTCCCTACGAAGACTTTATTGTGTACTGGATCAAAAAATAAGTATTTGTTTTCTCTATACGGTGGTATTAATATATCGATTTTTGATGATAGTGCCCTTTTACCCGGTCTAATTTTGTACTACTTTCGGAATAAGGGTCCCCATATCATGTACTGTACTTCCATCCCTGACAAATTCAGCTTGTGACACCGAAGTGGGACGTAAAGTCAAAATAAGCTTTAATCTACCTACATCATAGGTAGGTGTAGGTACTCTAGGTATATTCTACCTAGACAGTAGCTGAGAGTAGTAATTAATTTGTTATCCGATAAGTAGTTGTCATTATATAAGTTTAATCATCTTATACCTCCTATAACGGTAGGTTTTGGATTTTTTCCTGATTGGTTTGTTAAACAAAAATATACTGGGCATATAAAGGTCTAACACAATACATGTATTGAATGTACTTATTTTAACCAATGCATTTTTTTGTTTTTTTAATCTCACAAATAAGAAATGTTTTAAAGTTTTTATTATAAAAAACAGTGATTATACAATTTATTTGCACCCCTTACACTGTTTTCTGTAAGGGGTGTAACCAGGAGTATATTTCGTAACCTCTTACGATATAAGGGGGCCCACAAAGTGTTTTATTACTTAATGCTTAGATTAAGAGTTAATAATATATTTGTACATAAAATAAAATAGACTAGAAAGTAAATTAATTAATATTGACGTAATTACTAAATAATTACAAGATTTTTTTTCTAATTATTTTAGTGTATTTTTAGTCACCTAATTATAAAGGAGAGATATCCAACCATTGCATTATTTTACTCACAAATAAATGTTTTATGGTTTTTATTATAAAACAAGGATTAATTTATTATACACCCCTTAACCCAAACACTCCAAGGAGGATATTTCGTGACCCTTATTTAAAGTGGACAAGCTTTATTAGTCAATGTTTTAATTACCCAGCGTCTTTAATAAAAATCTAATGTAATTTTTCATAGAAATGATCTGACATAAAAAGCAAATTTTATCTAAAAACTTTTTGATTATCTACAAGGAGTAAACTGCTGACAAATGTCTGTATACGAATGCTAAAGTAATGCCAAAAATACGAATTAAATACCAAAATTTCTCATATAATGCCCCACTAATGCCAAGCTGATTCCAATATAATACCACTAATACCACGAATAATATGTAACACATTTGTTTAACGAATTAACCTGTAACAATAGTGGTAGGTACGTGCACAGATTTTTTCCTAGGTAACTTAAAAGTCGTTAAAAATTCTAATTATATTTAAAGAAGATATAATTCCAACTAATTGCATTATAAGGCCAATAATGCACAAGTAATACCATTAAAATTTTAGCGTTTTTAATTTGTGTAACATATTTCTTTAAAAAATTAACCTGTAACAATAGTGGTAGGTACGCGCACAGATTTTTTTCGCTAGGTAACTTATTAAGTCGTTAAACAGGCCTATAAAAGCTATAACAACATAGGTAACTAATATTTATAATTTTATTCGAGTTTTAATCTCAAATAATAAATGTTTTTACTGGTGTATTTCTGAAGTGTTCATTATTAAAAGTAGATATTCTTCAAGTTATGTGAAGTAATAAGTAATGTTTCCGGTGAGACCGCGTATATGTC